CCCTGAGAGGTCCCTGTCAAAGCATTCTCCACTGCAGTGCCTGTGGAGAGAGCCTGATAGAGGTTACTTACCTCTACAGGGATGGTGGATACCTGAGCTGGCCTTCTTCTCCTTCTAGAGGTTACATGCTGCCAGTTTTCTTCCTTGTCCTGTACTGCCCGGACTGGCTCTTCAGACTGCTGTGCCTGAAGGATTAAACGCTGCCCTCTATTGAGGAAGTCTTCATCCTCTCTGATAGAATGTAGGGTTGATACTTGGCCCTCAGGTCCTCTAATTTTTTCTTCCAAAATGGTGACCAGCTTGCACTTAGTGCAGATGAAATCCCTTCTGTCTTCTGGGAGGAAGACAAACATGGCCCATGCTGTCCAGGTAACAACAGCAGACCTATCACCATCCATACCTGGCTTGCTTCTGAGAGATTCCTCAGCTGTTATTAAATGCCTCCTTGAAGGGGAGGAGTGTAGTGAAAAGATTTTAAAGTCTGGTGAGTGTATCTCACCCCTTTCCCAACTCCCTCTCCAAACTCCCTGGTCACAATCTCCCTGGTCAGTGACTCACTCCTTTATAAAACCCTGGACTGCCTGATAGCCCTCCCCCTGATTAAGGCTCAACCAATGAGCAGAGGCTTCTAGATTTCAAAACCTGATTAGAAGCTCACAGCTTCCACCTGCCAGCCACAACACTCACTCTGTGGTGGGGAGGGGGGAAAGGGCAAAGAGAACCCTCCCCCAAACTTCAAACAGCCAAACACAAGTTCAGCACCCAGCAAGAAAACCCCAAACACAAACACACAGTCAGTTGGTCTAAATCCCCATAGCATGAATCCTGACTAGGTGTGCTTGATGCCCGGGGGATAAAAGTTCTTGAAGGAAAAGGAAACACAGGTGTTTCATGCTAAACCTGAAAGAAACAGGGTAGGTGAGAAAGGGCTTGGCTTTCTCTTCCAGGAAAGATGGGAGAGACAAAAAGCTTCTTATTAAAAGGCTGCAAGGACAGGAGATGTCTTGCTTCAGACTGGCCCTCTCAAAGAATGACAGTGGCCCTAAAATATCTAACTTCTCATCCACAGGGACATACTAAAACCAAAAGAACTTTTATTATTACAACAATATTCCTGTTGCAAGCATAATGATTAGATGAGAAGGTAATAAAATATACTCATGGAGAAACTCCATGGGCCTAGAACTTAGTTACAAAGAAAAGCCAAAACATCTTTTAAACAGTGCCAGATATCAGATCCCATACCCAACCCTTAAAACAATAAAGCCTAACGAAACTACCTAAATGTTACCCTACTTACAGAAAGTGGGGTATGTCTACACTACCACCCTAGTTCGAACTAGGGTGGTAGTGTAGACATACCCAGAGCTCTTTAGGCCTGGCTTATGCAGTGTCCCATGGGAAAAAGAAAGCTCTGGGTTCTTTTTGTCTTAGCCCTTTTATTTTCTGAAGTTAAGCCCTTGGAGTGAATGTATTAGCCAGTATCCCGGAAACCTGACTCATTTTCTGACAGCATGAGTTAATTTTTTAAATACAGATACAAGACAGCTTTTGCTTTTCCCCGGGACAAGGAAAATGGCCCACTCTTCAGTTCTATATATCGCCTACTGTTGACCGTCAAAGCCTCCACTCTACTGGCTCTGAGCGCTGCCAGGCAGACAATCCACAGCTCAGTAGGCTAAGGCAGTTTACAAAACCCCGCTCACTAAACATGGGGAGTCGTCTCTTGCAAGTGGTTTTTGGCCAGGCCACATCCGAGTATAAAACCCAAGTTTGTCATTGGCAAGAGAAACAAAGATGCTAAAAATAAAAACTGCTCCTTGGAGAAAGGAGCCCATGCCATGTACAGGGAAAGCTAAAATCAGGTACAAGCCAGGAATCAGCTGATTCCCAGCTCATGCCTAGTCCCAGACACGCCGCTGCTTTTTAAATGTATTAAGAACCTTTTGGCTCTTAACAGGCTAAAGCGCATTTAACAGGCTAAAGCACAGCAGGGGGGACCCATTACAAGCCACGAGTCTGCTGTCCTGTGCACCAGCCTTTTAAAACAAATCCCTCTCGCCCTTATTATGTCCCTTATAGCCTTATTTCAAAGTCTTAAAATTTTGTCTGCTAACATGTTCCCATTATTAAATTCCTCTAAAATGTATTGTCATTAATATGAACATGGGCAATTACCAGATTAGATATACATTTTGTTAAACACCTTGAATGAAAAGTTAAAAAGCCTTTATAGGTGAATCTAAAACTGGAAGAAGAGGTACCTTACAGCTGAGCCGGATATGGCTATTGTATATGAAGACACATAAGAAAAAACAGGAATACAAAAATCTTCTATGCATAGATAAACATCTAATTTAAAGGTTAAACTCACCCTCAGACCAAGCAAAATCACTTTGCAGTAACAGAATTAATTACGACTTCCAAAATCTCTAAACTATGCAAAGACTGTAAGCAGCTTTTCATAACATAGAATCACTAATCATACAAGCTACTCCACTCATGCAGATGAAAACTCAGATGTGACCAAAAAATTGGTGAAGGCCTGAGATTCCATGATGATTTAAATCAATGTTTGTTGTCCCTGTTATAACTGCCAGCTGTATAATAAATGGAAACAACTAGGCAGAAAAATGTCAAAATTTGAGGCCCCTTTGCCTCCTGAGGACTGGACCAAATGGCCCTCCTTGCCACTCACTCTGATAGGGCCTGGCTACAGATAGGCTACGTCTACACTGGCATGATTTTCCGGAAATGCTTTTAACGGAAAAGTTTTCCGTGAAAAACATTTTCGGAAAAGCGTGTCTAGATTGGCAGGACGCTTTTCCGCAAAAGCACGTTTTGCGGAAAAGCGTCTGTGGCCAACCTAGACGCGCATTTCCGCAAAAAAGCCCCAATCGATATTTTCGCGATTTGGGCTTTTTTTGCGGAAAACAACTCTCTGCTGTCTACACTGGCCCTTTTGTGCAAAAAATTTTCGGAAAAAGACTTTTGCCCGAACGGGAGGAGCATAGTATTTCCGCAAAAGCACTGACGATCTCATGTAAGATTGTCAGTGCTTTTGCGGAAATTCAAGCTGCCAGTGTAGACAGCGGGCAAGTTTTTCCGCAAAAGTGACTGCTTTTCCAGAAAAAGTGGCCAGTCTAGACACAGCCATAATGTTTTAACATTCTATTTACTGGTTACCCAACTGTTGAGTGCTGCTGTGCTTCAAACCTTGCCTTCTGTGTTTTCCCTCCACACATCTGACATGATACACTGGCAAGTGAACAAACTAGTGGGCTAAAATCAGCACATATTTATATTGAAGTTTTACTGCTACAAGTGCTGAGGAAACAATCTCACCTTTGAGTATAAATCAGACAATTGTTAGGTGGCTATGTTGTCATATTAATAACTGTGTACACAGAACAAAATCCAGAAGCAACCCATTGCCCTGTTTTACACATTTTAAACCATAAATCAAAACTGAGTGGTTCAACAAATGACATATTCACCCCCACTTTTTTCCACCCATGAAGATTTTCGAAGATGCTGAGGACAAGCCCTTTCATACTAATTAGTTGCTTTTCAATTGCCATTTAGATTTTCCCAACATCTGTGATTCATTGCCTCCTGGGGATAATTTCATCAACATGATCAAGTTGTGATGGCACCCAGCTATGATTACCAGGAGGCATCTGCTGACACCAGATTGAGTTATTTTCTTCAAAACTACTTGTGGGCCTACTGCGCAAGGTGTCTTGCTTAATTTTTTTCATACTACGATAGTCATCCAACCCAGAAGCTCAATGTCCATAAAGATAGTTCAGCCAGAATCACTTTAATAGGTGTCACAATTAATTAACTAATTTGTAAGGGCAATTTTCTTCTCTCTGCTAGAACTCATGATCTTCTCTGGGTAATGGTAAATCATCCCTGCCTATGATTAATTTTTTCCCCAGAGACAGTAAGATACTTTTGGGATCGTTTATTTGGGAGGCGGTGAGCTTTAGAATGCATCAGTAAACCAACTGGCTAACATTTACAAAATATTTTTAGAGAGAAAATACACTTCATTTTCCATTCAAACACTATCTACATATTAGACTAGTGGTTATATGCTGCACCCTTGCGTCCAGACAATACCTGTCTGAGTAATGGCTATGCCATCGCTTTCAGACAACTAATCATTGAATTAATTTATTCTTTTGCCTCTAGACTGTTTCAGATATTTGATTCACTCATCTACATATAATTCTATTATATCTTGGCACCAAAGATTGTAACAGACCCCACTGATGGCACCTGAATTAAAATGCATCATGAATTATCAGCTGTTCTGTATGCATTGAAGAAGGCTGCCATCTTTCAGCTACCAGTTTTCTTCCTCAGCAAACTGAAGGTATGGGAGGGAAAGTACGGGATCAAGGTCAGCAGTGGTCTATACTAAGTGAGCGGGTGGTGCTCAGTCTGATTCATGATAGAGAAGAGGTCATCTCAGAAAAAGTAACTGGCATTAGTTGCACCATTGCTAACAATCTCAGCACAGAGAATAAATGGATAAGCATGTACACATTTCCTAATGCTTGTCATTGAGGAACATATTTAAGGGACATTTAAGATAAGGGATATTTAAGATAAGCTTACATTACATTTGCCCTTTCCTGTGACTAGAGCACTACTGTTCTATGAGCTACAGATCTGGCATCTGTCACAAACAAATTTACTCAGGAAATACTTAGTTGTAGTACTAGTGTGCACTATTGGAGAAAAAGTTTGAAAATTAACAAAAAGTCAGAAAGAATCATAGAAACCTGATTGCAAAGCCCTGTATTTTTAAAAGTGTCACTTGTATCCAGTGAAATGCCACATAAGATAGAGTGAGAGATGGTTAGCCAGCAATCCTACATACATTCTTATGAATAACATTACTTTATGCTCAAAGTGTTTGCAAAACCAGACAATACATCAGTTTTTAATAATGAGTAGAAAACTATACATTGCTCCATGACACTCACCTGACCCCAGACAAGTTCTCCTAATCCAATAAATACACACCACATCCACTGGTCAAGCTGCAGAGGAGAGCAGCTGAAAGGTTTCCCACCAAACTGAACAATTATTATCTGCAGAGGAAAAATGGAGATAATTTTATTTCTCTTCTGCAAATATATATTCCCCACATTTACTTGAGCTTTTGCTCCCTCTTTTGGTAGGCTTGTTTTTAATCTCACTTTGATTCAGCAAAAGCGGTGAGGAGTCCTGTGGCACCTTAGACTAACTGAAGTGTTGGAGCATAAGCTTTCGTGGGCAAAGACCCACTTCATCAGATGATGCATCTGACGAAGTGGGTCTTTGCCCTCGAAAGCTTATGCTCCAACACTTCAGTTAGTCTAAGGTGCCACAGGACTCCTCACCGCTTTTGCTGAATCAAAGTGAGATTAAAAACAAGCCTACCAAAAGAGGGAGCAAAAGCTCAAGTAAATGTGGGGAATATATATTTGCAGAAGAGAAATAAAATTATCTCCATTTTTCCTCTGCAGATAATAATTGTTCAGTTTGGTGGGAAACCTTTCAGCTGCTCTCCTCTGCAGCTTGACCAGTGGATGTGGTGTGTATTTATTGGATTAGGAGAACTTGTCTGGGGTCAGGTGAGTGTCATGGAGCAATGTATAGTTTTCTACTCATTATTAAAAACTGATGTATTGTCTGGTTTTGCAAACCCAGAGACCTGTCGAGTCTGCCGACCCCACTGGGCACAATTAAGCAATTGTGCTACAGTCTAGGCATTTATTCTCTAGGGGTATGTCTACATTAGCCCCCTAGTTCGATCTAGGGAGGCTAATGAGGGCGACTGAAATTGCAAATGAAGCGTGGGATTTAAATATCCCGCGCTTCATTAGCATGTTCCCGGCCGGCTGCCATTTTAGAAATTGACTAGCTCGAAGTAACTGCCCGTGTCTACACACGGCAGTGAAACGGGATTCCAAATTGAAGTCCTAAATCGAATTAGCTGTTAAATCTCATTCCAGGAGGAATAACAGCTAATTAGATTTCGGGCTTTAATTCAAAATCCTGTTTCACTGCCACGTGTAGACGCGGGCAGTTACTTTGGGCTAGTCAATTTCTAAAATGGCAGCCGGCCGGGAACATGCTAATGAAGCGCGGGATATTTAAATCCCACGCTTCATTTGCAATTTTGGTCGCCTTTAATAACCTCCCTAGATCGAACTAGGGGGCTAGTGTAGACATACCCTAGTAGATTTTAGCACTGTGCTGATGTAGGGAGACCTAGATTCTGCCACTTTACATCCTGTGTCATTAGTTCCAAATCAGTAAAAGTGCTCCATTCAAAACAGAGGTGCTGCGCACCTAATTCCTATTGTGATCAGCTGAGGTGTCAGATGGCAGGGCTTTAGAAGCGCTGGAAAATCATACTATTTTAAACAGAGTGCCCATAAACTGACATACCCTGAATTGGACACCACAGAAAAATATTATTTTTGTATCTATAATTAGAGAAGCCTAAAACCATATTAGTTATCACACAAATTCTTCTAATCAAATCAACTTGACATTCACATGTTGTATCTAATGTTCTGGATCATGTAATGTTAATTCTAACATTTTTCCTTCAATATCCTTCCACTCAGATTGTCTTTTTTAATGACATTCTATTGATAATTGTTATGGTCTGAGCCTAGGGTGGCTGAAAATGAACACATTCAGTAGTGATCTATGAATGACTGATGGAAATGCAATCTATGGAATAAATTGGTAACACAGGACTGGATTAAGGTTTCTAGCATAATTTATATTCAAAGGCAAAACTATGTTATTTATTGAAAAGACATGTTGACTTGCAGGAGAGCTTAATCTTGTGGCAAATATCTCACCTTAATATTTCAAATATGTTATGTGACTGAAAAAGAATACATTGTTATCTATGTGGCATATGATATAATGGCATAGAAATGTTTCACATCATAGTGCTGACCAAATATATTCTGCCTAATCTAGAAAAATAAATCTTAATTTTCATTAATATACTACCTTGCAATAGCTTTGCTTTTTAAAATGAGTTTATAATAGTCACTGCAAGGTACTATAAAAAGATCTATAGAAAAGTCTGTCCCTATCTCAGATAACTTACTTTTTGAAGTATAAAATAAGACAATAGATGGGACATGATAGCACACTAAAAACAATAACTGAAAAGTGGGCAGCTGTTAGTGTCACCGTTAAATACACTAACAATTCAGTCATGCCAATGATACTACGGTACGGGTCAATGCCCTTGCTTCTCCTCATTTCTCCTGCACCTATGTCTAGAATGGCAGTTTCCCAGGAGGAGGAAGATTGAAGAATGCAGAGAGACAGAAAAACAGGAGAATCAAGCAGAGAAAAATCAGGAAACAAGAAGACCATAAGCATAAAAAATCTACAATCAGGATGCTCAGGAGTAGAGCTGGGTGAATTATTTAAACCAAAACATGTTTTTCTCCACTAAAAACACTGATTTAGATGAACTAAACCATTTCACAAATTCACATCAAATTCAGTGAATTGTTTCAGATAAAAACCCCTCAAAATTCTGAAAACTTTAAAATCTTTTAAATGAAAATTTTGATTTTTTTCAGAACAACTTACAATTTTACTTCAAATGAGACATCTTATTGAACCTGAAACCATTAAAACAAATTTTGGTTTTGCATGTAATTCAACTGATCAGTTATTCACAAAACTGCTGCTAGGAGGAGCGAAGCATTAAAAAGAGAAGAAAAAATATGGTATTGAAAAAAATACCACAAAGGGACAAGGCTGGGAGTAAGGGTATTCAAAGGGACTCATAGGCTACGTCTAAGACTGGCATGATTTTCCTCAAATGCTTTTAACGGAAAAGTTTTCTGTTAAAAGCATTTTCAGAACAAAGCATCTAGATTGGCACGGACGCTTTTCTGCAAAAGCACTTTTTGCGGAAAAGTGTCGGTGGCCAATCTAGACGTGCTTTTCTGCAAAAAAGCCCTGATCGCCATTTTCGCGATCAGGGCTTTTTTGCGGAAAACAAATCTCAGCTGTCTACACTGGCCCTTTTGTGCAAAAGTTTTGCGCAAAAGGGACTTTTGCCAGAACAGGAGCAGCATAGTATTTCCTCAAAAAGCACTGATTTCTTACAGTAGGAAGTCAGTGCTTTTGCGGAAATTCAAGCAGCCAGTGTAGACAGCTGGCAAGTTTTTCCGGAAAAGCGGGTGATTTTCCAGAAAAACTGGCCAGTCTAGACACAGCCATACTGTTTCCATCCCTTTATCCTTTACTGTAACATAATCCTTGGTTTATTCTGAAAGAGGAAAAGAATGATGTGGAAGGCAACAGAGGGGGATTGTTTAGCTGAGCAGGGTGAAAAAGCTACGCCCTTTCTTTCTATTTTTCACAGCACCCACTGGTTTCCATAGTAGTTGTATGTGAATCCAGAGAGCAGAAGCTGGCTCTGGGCTGTGTATAGACTAAGGTTTATATTTATTTTTGAAGGGGTTTTGTTGGTGAGTGGAGAGGATTGAGAGGAGTGGACAGAATCTATCTCAAGAATTCAGGTCTATGAATTGCAGCTGGCTGCCATTCCTCTATCCTCTCAGTAACAGGCCAGGAATGGTAACACCTGGGTATGGAAAACATCTTCAAGCCCCTTCCATGGCAAGGACTTTAGATTTGGTTGTGAATTAAAACCAATTAGGCCAAGATTTATGAGTGTATTTAGTGTTGCTCCACTCAGTGTTGTAAGGCTTACATCACTGAGGAGCCGAAGTCTCATTTTCAATAACACAGGTGTTTAGAGCTAGACCCACAGTGGGATTTAGAACCACACTAGGCCCTTTCAGCCAAAATTTAGATCCTCAAAACTCCCACTGCTGCTTATAGTCCCTGGGTACGTCTACACTGGCATGATTTTCTGGAAATGCTTTTAACGGAAAAGTTTTCCATTAAAAGCATTTTCGGAAAAGTGTGTCTAGATTGGCAGGACGCTTTCCCGCAAAAGCACTTTTTGCGGAAAAGCGTCCGTGGCTAATCTAGACGCGCTTTTCCGCAAAAAAAGCCCCGATCGCCATTTTCGCCATCGGGGCTTTTTTGCGGAAAACAAATCTCTGCTGTCTACACTGGCCCTTTTGCGCAAAAGTTGTTCGGAAAAAGACTTTTGCCCGAACGGGAGAAGTATAGTATTTCTGCAAAAACACTGAAAATCTTACATGAGATCATCAGTGTTTTTGTGGAAATTCAAGCTGCTTTTCCGGAAAAAGTGGCCAGTCTAGACACAGCCCCTATGCATCTCAGTGTTTTCTGGAGAAATCCCCATGTTTGCTGATGGGCAAGCCTAGTCCTGATGCACAACTCCTTGTGTATGCCTATGTCCCAGTAGGAGTCACAACCTAGACTATATCCCACATAGCTCACCTGCTAAGCCTAATCTGGAAGGCATGCTCAGAGGCTTGCCCAAATACAACAATATCATGCTGCCACTCCCCTTTTGCTCAAGAGCAAAATATTCCAAATAGTTAGAGCAGTCATCCAAAATGTGAGAAACCTGGGTTCAAATCCCTTCTCTAACTGATGTGGAGCAAGGACTTGAAGCTGAGTCTCCCACATCCCAGGTGAGGGTCCTAAACTTCCTTAGGCTATAGAATCATATTATACACTCTGGACCATTAAATTGAAAATGCTTCAACAGGAGAGATTGAGAGAGATCTAAAATATTTCACAACCCAGGGGTTAGGGTGATCTCTGGAGATATGGGAGAGTAGGTGCCTAAATATCTTTAAATAGCTGGGCCTTCATGATGTTGTGGAATTGTGGCATTCCCCACAGAGGGCTTACCAGGTGATGATTGGTTGATGTGGGACTAAAAGAATCACATTAGGGATGGAGAAGTTTTTCTGCAGACACAGCCAAAACTGTTTCATGCTGGGCTATTAGTAAAGAATACTCAAAGGATTTCTGATGGACCTCTGGATCCCGGCTGACATGAAGGTAGTGAGTGCCTCTTATTTAGAGACCAACTTGTTCATCCTCACTACAGACTCTGGTATTAAATGATAAAGTTATTAATAATCTTCATGGAAAATAATGAGACTTCTTGTTTCAACAACTCAGTTACTTATTGTGATTAACCATACTTCTTATAAATCTTAACCATAAGTGCTCTTGTGAAAAAGTTTAGCTTGCTTTTACTATGTTTGTAAATATTAAATATTCCAAATTATCATTACTGATCAAAGCAGTATTTTGATTAAAACCAAAATAGGTCTAATACAGGATGAATAAACATTTGGATTGGATAGAGAACTCTGTTGATCAAAGCATTTGATTTTTCCAAAGAACACAGAGAGAAAAAAGACTTTTTTGTACATTTCTGATGAGTAATTTCTATTTCTTGAATGAATTACCTGTACTGCAAATGTACCCAGTACAATAGTGCAAAATATAGGGTTTCTAAAAATGCCATCAAAAACATTCCTCTCGCCATGGATTTTGCGTGCGTTGATTTCATTGAAGAGCTGCATCATGACAAAGGTATTGAAGATAATGGTGTAGTGCTCAGAAGGAGGAGAGTGGAGTGGTGCGTTCCTACCACTGTCAATCTTAAACATTTTTTCACCTTATCGCAAAAAGAATAAAAAAGTTTGCTTCTGTTATCAAATATTCAGCCTTGATTTTATGTTGCATTCCCATTCCCTCTCATTGGCTACCTCCTTTGTACTGTTAAGCAGTATTGCTTCCACTATTACTAAAATACAGGCATAGTTCCCAACTCAGAGAGCAAAGAAACACAGAATTCCCACTGTGAAGTTTCATAATGTTGACTATAATCCAATGATTCAATATACAAGTTCAAATGATTTTTGATGTTTTTCCCTCCCACCTGGCAGGAACTACTCTAAAGAGTAATTTCTTTCATTTAATTTACTCAGAGTTGGAAACTTATTTACACTGCATTTGCCATTTCTAAAATAATTAGCAAAAACCTTCCTTCGACAGTCACTGCAGATTACCTCCTAGTATGCCATATTTTTGACAAGTAGTCAAGTACATTAACGCAATAGAACAACAGCTAACACAACTACTCCCCTATTTTAAAATGGCTTATTTTTGTCCATTTGTCTGTTAATCTATTTTAGAAGCATTTAATAGGAGATCATACTCTCTATTTAGATAAATGAGAATAATAAAGGAATGATTAAAATATCAATGTTGAAACAAGAAACAAAAATGCACAGTAGCTATGTCTATATTTTAGAAAGGTCCATCTGTCTGTCTGTCCATCTGTGTGTCTGTTCAAGAACTCCTCCTAAATGGGAAGAGCTAGGACCACCATATTTGGTATTCAGCTTCCTCTTCTTTTAATTTAGAGCAAGGTCAGGGTTTGATTGTGCCAGGAATGGGACTATTTTCCAGAACATGGAAAGGAGAAAGAAGAGAGATGTGTACCTACAGTGGCCACTAGGGGCATAAGCCTCCAAGGTAGAGCTATGCTGCAGAGTGGGGGCACTGGGGCTCTGCAGAGTGCGGGCACTACACTGGGGGTAGCTGTACCACCAAAAGAGTGGCCAGCAGGGCTGAGGCTCACCATCTTGCTTGCCACTATACTGGGTAAGTGGGGCCTCCTGCCTGGGAGACAGCCTCTGCCTCTCCCCATCCTGGAAAGCGGTAGGGGGAAGAAGTTG